TAACACCTCGCGGAATGGCAAAACCCTTTCATGCGCCAACAAGTTTTGCAACTCAGACGCACTGATACATGAAGTCTGCTTGTTGCAAAAAGTCTTTCCATGGGAGAAAGAAATGCAGTAGCAACAAATGACGCTGGAGACAAAGCAAGAGGCATTCAAGAGGCGCCAGACGATGCAATGATAATCTGGCAATGATTGTTCGATTTGTCAGTAAGGTGGCGACAAAAAAAATTACCATCAGGCTAGTGAATCCGACAACGTCTACGAGAATGAAACGAGAGTCAAATGAATGAGAGTTCCACCTCCACCAAAGTGATCATCCACTAATTTTGGTCATCATTTCTGCATCGTCAAACTACTTAGTGATTTCAGTGGCAAAAGAAGGGTAAGATAACCTGCAAAAAAAAAACGACTGTCTTAAATGAAGGAGAAAAATGCATACATGACTGTCCTCGATCGCGTTTCCTCGGCCTCTTCCGCCAGCACCGCGTCCGGCAGGCTCACCGGAGACGAACTGGGGAGGATTTGTGTGACTGGCACCGGTTGAGTCTTCGATCGCGCCAATACCGGTCGTGGCGCCACTGGCGGCCGTCGTTGAATCGGCGACCCCACCTCCGTCTCCGACTCTACCACCCCCACTTGGGAGGCCTCCACCAAGGCGTTCGTAGTGTGACTCCGACACAACCGCATAGCCGGCTTTGGTGGCTTGCGGAAGGGGGACGGGCAAGCTGGTTGAGGAGCATCCTGAGAGGCCACTCCGAAGGCTGTTCGAAGTGCTCCCCGTCTATTCACAGCAAAATAGCAAATGAAAGGGAGGCATTAATAGGCCGACTAAAGGGGAAAAAATAAATTTTTGCAGCGAATTAACTAGCGTAAGAGTTAGCTATTCCGAAGTTGAGTGATTCGAATCCCTGATACACCTACCAACAGCGAAGAGCTTCGGAAATGAACACACTTCGTAACTCACTCTTACCTCGGAGTAACTAATGCACCGCATGGCGAGGGATTCACCTAATTTCGTAATGCTTTTGTTATTAGGCAACTGAATTGCGATGTTGCCTAGGCTACTCGGCGCCTGGAGGTCTCAGATTCAAGCACATCTGCGCACGTACATACTTTCTGAAGCAATTACTCCCAGTAATTATTCAGCTGCCGCAATTAGTCGCACAGCGAATTAGACAAACAGTAAAAGCACTTGAAAGTTACTTTTCAGGAAATCAGCGGATCAAATCGAGTCCTTTTGTTTCAAGGATTTGGAAACGAGGAACAGAATATCCAAAGGACCTAGACAATCTTAAGTTATCGCTTCTCAATTGTTGTATACGCGACGAGTACCCTTACACGTGTTTTATTGTCTTGGATCCAACCAAGTTGTTTGAGGTACACAATTTGACTGAGTCAATCACCCATAAACTGATGGAGAACACATCATAAATGTGTGTTGTGCCGAGCTTGGATTAGTAAATTGGATTTAACAGGCAGTTAGGAAGCCCCAGATATCCACCTCCATGTACTTTCCAGGGATCAACTCTACAGCATACCAGCAACCTCACAAGAGCTTCAAAAAATGCGCGAAACGCCAAAAGGTTAGCGAAATCGAAGCAAAATCGGCCCCACAAATTCGGCGCAATGAGGTGGCTTCGCGAAACCCATAAACATAACAGTACAGTGTGCGGGCTCTAGCAGCATCGACTTAACGCACCTAGAGTCAACTTTTGTTTCAGGAAAGAGAAAGGCCACAAGTGTTAGCGCCAAATTTCGAGTTATGCTATCAAATAAGACGGAAAAAAAACAGCTACATGAGGATGCCGGCCATTAGAACTAGGGAAAGGAGATGAGAGTACTCCAGACGCAAACAGACACCAGCCAGTCAGATAGAGCAATGGCAGCCCTAACTCTCGTGTACAACGCTCAGATGGGTGAAAAGGGAAAGGGACGAGAAGAGGAGGAAAGCGTTATGAAGGACTGGGACCTGAAACCTACCCCTTCTGTGTGCGGTGACGTAGCTCCATCACTAATTGCATAATCTGCAGGTGGGAGGAGAGAAAGAGGATGGGAAGTAAACGGTGAGACACCCGCACACGCACACGCTAATTGAATGGGAAGGTCAGGTATTCAAAAGGGAGGGCAGAGAAGGGACGGACAAAAAAGTGTGCAACTTACAGCGCCATCAGCAGTAGATTGGCTCTCCCCATCGTAGCTGGTGTCTCGTTGTGGTGGATGACGATGCACAGCGCCATTGCGAGCCGGTGAATCCACGACAGCGTCACCCCCACTACCGCCATCAGTGTTGTTTTCTTGAATTTTTTTAAACTTGGGACGAACTTGATTACCCTCTGTAGCATTAGCCATTCCGCGCTGAACAAGGTCGTACAAAATTGGAGTGGGATTCCGAATGGATGTACAAAAGCGATGGTTTAGAGCCTCGGTTGAGGTTGGACGCTCTTCGGGCTGAAAAAAAAAATTTTTGCGATCGACCGTTAGGCGGCTAGATTGCAGACCTCCAAAGTGCAGCAATAAAACAGCATAGTAATCACGTGAGACCCAAAATGCTGTTACGTTTTGCTGGTCTTAAAACTGACGTTCAGCGAGGGTGTGGCTGGTATGTGGAGTGTGAATTCCCCTAGCAATTTATCACTCTCGATGGCAAAGCAAATCCCTGACTACTCAAAAAAGACCCAAAACAAAGTAAGCCATGAAGATGAGCCCGAAACAGCATTCGTCTCAGACGACGTTTGAACCGCTAGCAGCAAGGAGTGAAATCATATTTACGATTCAACCATGGATCCAAAAGAACCGAATTAATGAAGTGGAATGGCCTACCAAAAGCATGAATAGGTCAAGCATGAAATCGACTTTTGCAGTGACCAAACTAAGATTTGATTAAAAGAGAAGTTGCGTAATCGCCAACCTTCGAGCCTCCGTCGCACCGAGGATCTCATAGTCTAATAGTAAAGAGGCTAAACCCGCCTAAAAACAACGAAACTCATTCACAAAATTGATGGCTAGCGCACTTTTCACTACACTTTTACATGCCACATTCTAGCATCGCCACTCCCACGACAGTAGTCGGTGTCTCGAATAAGCGACACCGCAAATCCAAAGGATTAACCGGATTTCAATCAGGCGATTTATACAATTACACCACAAAAATGACTCGGTTTGTCACTGTCTTTACTGAAGCAGATGATGAAACCAAAGAGCCGATCAATTTGCACACAACGCGAATAGATTAAATGGAATGAAAAGGGGCAGAATGGAGCGAGAAACAGCGGCACTAAACGGTACCATGCCTTGCACACGTACACATAGTTAGGTAAGCACGCGGGAAAGTAGACAGGAAAACACTGGCACACATACGCACACACATAAGCAGAGGCACGTACGCACACAGAACCGCATTCAGTCATTCATTCCCGATTTATTCATTCATCCTTCAGATGCCGCTGTTGACGGTGAAGTTGGAGTGAAAGGGAGTGGGATGGTAGTCTTCGAACCAAAGATCAGGGCAAAAATTATATCAATCCGTACATCTCCAGTTTCACCAGGTTAGCAAATAGTCAGGCGATACATAAGCCCATGCGAAAACACGCTGACCGAAGAAAAATGTGAGCTAGTCTCCACACTAATGAACGAAATCAGATGGAGTTAAAGTATGGAATGCTAGCCAAGCATACTACCCTCGTGCTTGAGTTTGGGAGCGACAAATGGTACACGCAACAATTAAACAACCGCATAAAGGGATGAGGACTAGTGTCACCTCCCACACAAACATTCAAAACGGGTTATGAGCAAATACTAAGCTGCTTGTATTGCCATTTCACTGATCAATAGAGGAAAAAACTAGGACTTTTCCTTCGAATAATTAGCTACACAAAACGTGTGTGCGCAAACGCACGCAAACACAGAAACAAACCTTGATTGTTCGTGTGCAAGCGCTCGCATGAACGATAACACAAATTGTGCAAACATCTCTCGTGTATGCATATTGGGTGAAAAACAAGAAGAGCATGGCAAAATCACACAAATTAAGTCAGAATCATAAGATCGAACAACTCCACACTTGACTCACACATACACGTCAGGCGGGTCTGCTTTCGAAAAGTGACCACCCACTTTATCAGCTCCAATACCCAGCCATTTTTACCTTGCCAATTTGGAGCGATGAAAAAAGGTAGAAACGACTATGCCTTAGACCAAGAAAGTTAAGTACATTTGTCGCCTTAAACGGCTCGAAACATCCCTTCTAAAAAGTGCTATCTTTGAATACACACCCATCCACACACGAAGGCGTAGCAAGAAGAAACATTGCACACACCAGTGCCCTCACAAGAGTGCAGGATGACGTCATTAAACTAATAAAAGATGAAAATTAACACGAGCACTCGACTCAAGCATCGGAAGGAGGCGACATAGAGTGCAAAAGAAGTGTTACTCACATTCTTCTTAAGGACAAACTCCACAAACTCATAAAACTCTGAAGTCCAATTAGCTTCTCGCAGATTGGGAGCGGGATTCAGTGCTATCTGGTAAAGAGCTGCCATTGTATTGGCGTATTCCATGTAAGGTGGCTTCAATTCCGCTAAAGAAAAGTGACAAGTTGTAAGCCAAAGGTGAAATACAAAGTAAAACTGCTTCGAAGCCAAAACCCACCCATTTCTATACAAGTGATTCCCAAAGACCACACATCAACACGACAGTCGTAGAGTCCATTTTCCATGGCGAGGATTACCTCAGGAGCGATCCAATAAGGCGTTCCAACAAAGCTATTTGCGGGACTTTTGAAGCTCACTGATCCGAAATCACCCACTTTAACACCACCACATTCTGTGAATAAGATGTTCGCAGCCTTAATATCACGGTGAATAAAATTTCTTGAGTGGATGTATACAAGACCGGTGAGCACCTCTCTGACAATGCAGGAAATTTCACACTCTTTGAGGGGGTGCCTTTGAACTTTGAGAATGTCAGCAACAGACCCAAGACAGTATTCCATAACGATCTTGAAGGGTGAATTGGGCAAAATGACACTGGCGTACCCAAGGAACCTGCTGATCAATGTAACAACCACGACATTGTACACAATTCTTGTGATCGATACGTTTTATAAATTCTATTTCCCTGCGCATATCTTTTAGGTCCTCCAGTGAAACTTTTCGCTTTGAATCATATTTCAGTTTCTTGATGGCAACCACCTCACCAGTCTCAACCGTAGTGGCCTAAAGATTAGTTCACCAATAAGACATACCCGATAAACTATTCCAAAATTTCCGGCCCCTATTTGGGACAAGTTTGTAAACAATTGGGTAGGGTCTTCACTACTAATTATTCCAAGATTTTGGAGATCAATAAAGGCGTTCGCACCAGAAACCTTGGGCATATTGCCGAACAGGTAATATAAATTGCCTAATTAGCCTAATCGAAGACCCAAATGTCTGCTTCTCTCAATAGAAAGCGAAAAATGAACAAAGATAAAAGAGAGCAGCAGACCACCGAGACGCGATTGTAGCGCCGTCAAAAGCAGTCATCCTCACATTCACTTGATTGGATGAAACAACGTTCTGCTGAGAGTCAATGAAATATTTTAAGTATTGATACAAATTTTGCCTGCCTTTCATGTCTTACAATTAAAGCACAGTTCTTAACAAATACTAAAAAATCAGTTTTGAATGCCAAGAAATGTATGGAACATCAGCAGCAAAGTTTAGGTAGAATATTTAAGACTTCATAAAACCCTTTGTTTGATCACTTGCTCGGCAAGCTAAGCAGTATGCAGTGCTTTGGCTATCTGAAATTTGACAGTCGCGTTAGGATTTGTCTGGCCCTTGTTTTCGCGGATTTTCCTTCGGGACTCGCAGAGGTCCATTTGAACTGTCCTCTTCGGAACGCAAGTATCCAACCTCATCGCCTTCTAACCGATTGCCTGTACTCACAGAGAGGCATGTCGGATGCCATTCTGTATTACTTTATTTATGTGGTCGCCTGTAGGACCGGTCTTATCTCTTCTTCTCCTAGCATGCATGTGAGTAGATCAAATTAATGCCTTTTTCTAGCCAGTGAGAAGTATTTGCTAGCTAAACAAGGAATAGGTAACACTTGGGTTAAATATTCGGCTGGTTAAACTTCCAGCAGACGTCCAATAAAATTATTCGGATTTGTTATGGCAATCAAAGCGCCAAGGGGTCACACTAGAAATTGAAATTAAAAACCGATCCGGTTCGCTTTATAGCCATTGTCAGGAATGTTAATTGAGAACCCTGTGCTTTCCCTTACTAAACGGGAAGTTTCAGAAAGTTGCACTCCGTGATGCACCAAAAGCCACAATCGTCCTGATTCCCATCACAACAACAGTGTTATTCCACCTATGCTATGTAACGATCCCTCTTAATGCTAAATTTTCGACATTTGGGCTAGTTTTTCCCACCAGTCGACAAAGAAGGCGCTTTCTGTAATCTCTTCCTTTTCCATAACCTGCTCCATTTGTTCGTACTGGAAACGCTAGCCTGGCACTCCAAAAGGTTAATTACTGGAATTCGGAAGGGAGAAGTGGATGAAATTCTCTGTTACCAACCTAGGAAATTGGACTTACGCTTCCCAATAACAACGGCGTTATAGTGTGCTTCAGGGCCTAGAGTATGGCGAATTGTGTGAAACTGAACAGGAAATGGTTTCATAGGCAGGAGTTTTGTCCTTTAACTTCCATTTCGTATACTTCTTAAGGCCCATTTGCGTAATAACCACTGCGATAAGAGAGAAATGCCAAAAGACTGCAAGTTCGTAGGATTGTGGTGAAGAATAAAGGACAAAGATCGCGCTACTGAATTTCCAGAATCTAGCTCCCATTACTGAGGGCTTCGCAGCAGTGTTTATAAAAGCAGACATTATTAGCAATCCAAGCGGTGACTGGTGCTGTATGCTTCTCTTCAACCTTGCTAAGATCCATCACCTTCTGTACAAATTCATATTGATTAATCTCAAGATTAAGTGTCATTATTTTTAATTCGATGTTTCTGTGACCAGC